CTTGAAGGCAGGCCTGTGTTTAGTAGGGCTAAGATGCCGTGATCTGCCTGGCGGAACTCAGAGAGGGAGAGGCTCACCAGCAGCAGGGTTGGGAGGCACTCACCATGTGTTGTCTGCACCTATCCTCCTGCTTCTCCAACGCCTTCCTGTGCCCAAGAAGGCCTGTGACAGAGGGTGGCAGGAGCACCTGTAGCTTGGAGAAGCCCTGCAGACCAGGTCGCTGTGTGGGAGCTGCTCCTCAGAGATGGGCCCTCTGGTGTTGGTGGAGTGATGGGATCCTGGAGGGCAGGAGGGCAGGAGGCCAGGCGGCAAAGCTTCACTGCTAAAGACAGGGTGGGTGCATCTCCTTGTGGGCAGCAGGGTGCAGTGGTGATCAGGGTGTTTCACCCCCAGGCATCTTGGGTGCCCTAGGAATGGGAAAATGCCAGGTATGGGCCAGGAACAGGCTTGAGTGTCCAGAACAGAGAGGCTCACCTCTGACCCAGTGTCCAGTCCTGAGGAACTGCCACTATCACCCCAGGGAAAGTCTCTCAAGTGTCTTTGTCTAAACCAGAGCTATTTTCAGAAAAGAAAATGAGAGCCACAGACTACCGGGTGGATGGTGTCTCCAGCCTCTGGCTGTGGGAGGAGGTAGAGAGCTAATGTCCCCTTTCCTCTGACCTCCCTTTGGGGCAGATTGTGTGCCCTCTGACCTTTTCCAGGAATGGAGGTGGCAGCTGATCTGGTTGCTGGGTACTGCCCTGGTTGCTGGGTACTGCCAACTCAGTTTTCTGGGCAGTTTTATCAGAAGGCAGAGGATTTCAGATGGCAAAGGGGTGATTTGTGGTCGTTCATATTTGCCAAACTCTAGAGGCTTTTCAGGCAGTCAGAGATATCTATTACCATTACTTTTTTAAAAAGTTTTATATCCTACTGCTTGGTCAAGTTGATTTTTAAATAAACGGAAGACTCCTAGAGTTTAAAGGGAAAGATCTTTTTCCAACTTCCAGTGTCATGTAAACTCATTTGCTGTTCAGAGTGTTCACTGAGAAGCAGCTCAATGCTGGGTGAGTTGAATGCATGGTGGGAAGCAGTTAGCTTCTTGCAGGCTCTGGAAACCCTGCTTATAATTTCTTGAGTACTGTTACTAATGGACTTTGGAAAATGGGTGGAGTGCTGTTGTGGTTTCATTTGGGGCATTGTGTGTCTTGGGACAGTGCTCTGTGTGGACGGCATCCTGGCTGTCCTCCCACCTCTGTGGGACACTGGCTTTAAACGCTGAAGTGGTTACTGGTTTGTGTTCCTTCTGTCTTTGAGCTGCAGTCCTGTTACTACTTTGTATACTAATGGTTGAAAACTCAAACTCTGTAGGCGGGTAGAGCAGTATTCTGGATGTAAGATTAGAGTCTTTGATGTGTAATGCTTTACATATCAGGCACCTGAGCCATGTTCTCCTCTTCCATAATGCCTTCTATTTTTCTATCAACTGTCATTTTGATTCTTTTTATTTTCCGTATGCGATAGTGATACAAGTGCAGGAAACGCTCCACTTGCCTGTTTACTAAGAGAAAAACAGTATGTGTATAATGATAACTGCATGGCTCAGCTCCGACTGCAGGAGTCTGCAGAGATGGTGGCACATTGTGGATCCCACCAGAACGGACAGCCCAGCATTCCCATGGAGCCAAACAGGCCCAGCGTTGCCACGTCTTCTAATATTTCAGGCAGAACTGGAAGTTTTTATATGAAATCACCATTTTTAATTGGCAAATTAGAAAAATGGCATAAAGGTGAATTTAAGTAATTTACGGGCTAAACCTTGCCTGTTCACAGTGATGATGTTGGGTCTCATTTTCCTTTTTTTGAGTGACTTAGAGAAAGTGCATGGCTTCCATGTGTCTTTCCTTCATTACGGTTTTTGCCCCTTCAGACTCTTGTGTGACACTGTGGGTAGGACATTCTGCTGGCCACTGGGGATATGCTGTAAATATGCCATAGTCCTCCAGAGAGCCGGGTACCATTCCTGTCACCCTTCTCTAGGCTGAGTGTCCCCATTTCCCAGACTGTCTTGATGAGGCCACATTTCCATAGCGCGCCTGGAAGCTGCTCTAGTGTTCTGGAAGCACCGTGGGGCTGGCTCTTCTCTGGGACACCGCCTGCCCTGCCCTCCCACCCATAGCTAGAGTGGAAAGTGTCCCTCCATGAGCTTCCTGCCCTGATGCCCCTGCCTGCAGAGTTCCGTCCCTGTCCACCTTTTGCTGAGGGGCCTCTCTGGTCTCACTGTGCTGAGCCACTCTAGGAGTACCTTCTGTGTTTCCTGTGTCCCCCCGAGCATGTCATATCCCTGACACATGCTAGGTTCTCACCAACCCTGAGGAGTAATTGAAACGGAACACAGCTCAACTCTTGCAGTTCCTGTCTCTGGCTGTTGGTTTGATCTGTTCTAGTAGCCAGGACATTTTAACTCTGGCTTGAGTGCAACTGAACACTTCTTTACAGTTATAATCTAAGTTGAAAGTGTTTTGTTCTCTTTTATATGCCAGAGTGGATCTTTATTCTCCTCACTGTTCTTACAATTAATATTTTCAGCTGGACATGGTGGTGCACGCCTGTAATCCCAGCACCCATGGGAAGCTGGGGCAGAAGGATTGCAAGTTTGAGCCCAGCCTGGGCAACCTAGTGATCTAGTGAGACTCTGCTCAAAATAAAAAGGAAAAAAGGGCTGGGTATGTAGCTCAGTGTGAAGGCCCTGGGTTCAATCCCCATTACTGGAAAATAATAAAAAATTCAGCTATTTATAGTCTGACTCTCAATCACGCTTGCAGCACATTAACTTCTGTTTCCACATACAAGTATTTGTAATCTTGATAAGCACACACTGTAGTTTCATTTAAGTCTTTGATAAAAATATTGGGAAGAACAGAGATAAAAGCAGCACATTGTGACACTGAAGGGCTCAGTTCAAGGAGACACTGATTTATTATTCACCACTCTTTGCTTTGTGTTGCTACAAATCTGTCTTATATGCAGGGAGATTTCAAGAGATCTTGACAAATGCTTTTTTTAAAATAAAGATGTGATGCATCTGTCACATCCCTCTCCTGTGAAATTATGAGGTTCATCAGTTAGCCCCTCTTTTTGTGAATCCATATTACCTTCCAAAATCAGAGATTCCGTTTCTGTTCTCACAAAGAGGAGATGTCCCTAAAATTTTGATAGCATCTTGTCTCAAGCGCTAACCTGTCTATAGTTTGAAGAATTCACTTTCCATCTTTTTAAACCTTGCCACTTTTATAATTAACATGGCGAGGTACATTCTTGAACACACACACACACACACACACACACACACACGCACACACACAATCATACCATCATGCAACGCTGTTTCTGGTTATTTCCTTATGGAAAATTCCTGGACTTCTCAGTCAAAGGATACATTCTTTTTAAAGCCTTTGGCCTTTGATACATGCTGCCCATCAGAGATCTTCCAGTGGATGCCTACCAGCTGCACGGGAGATTGCTGGTTCTCATCCTCACTGATGTGGTTCGGAAGGCTAGCCCGAGGGGTGCAGCCAGTGGTGGTTGCCATGTGGTTGGTCTCCCCTCTCTTCAGGCACTAAGTCTTGAGCTTTCTAATTTCCCACACCTTTGCTGCAGTGTGCAGGTTCCCTTGCTCTGGAATGTGAGGCCACTCTCCCTGCTGGTCTGTTCCCTAGCTCAGCCCACATCTTCCCTTCCATGGGTTCCTGCCCACCAGGCTCCTGTGTTCAGGGTGCTCGCCGGCTGGTGATGAGCATGCACCAGTGCCTGGAGTTGGGTCCTGTGCAACAATCCATTCTTCTAGTTTAGTTTTGGACTGTGACTACTTCAGAGGGATGGGAGTGGATTCTTTTGCTCACATAAAACTTGAGATGTTTAAAATTCTGAATTGAAGCTGGGCATGAATCAAGTCAAGTATTTTGAATATATACGTGTCATTTCTAAAGTTGACTTTTATACTCTTGGTTGTTTTGGCAAAAAGGAGTTGTTTCTGTAAGGGAAGCAAATCAAGGACATGAGAATAATGACCTAGGATTATGGTTTGGTAAAATGGGTTAGAGTAAGTAGACCAGAGTCGAGACAACTACAGGCACCCCTTAGGCTGTACATGCACATGCTCCCCCAAAGAGCCATCCGCTGTCCACTACATTTTCTATAACCCCACAGACTCAATTAGGGGACATTATGTCCTATTAATAAATTAAGGAAACTTCAGATATCTCTGTGTTTTACGTTTCTGTCTCCTGAAAATATTTTTCATTCTGTTAAACAACAATTTCTCTTCCTTTGATGGATCTCTTTCAGTTTCTTTGTGATAGTCTTAACAGTCAACAGAACTTATGAGATCTGTGGGAATCTGTGTTAAACATTTTACACAAACTCTGAAACATTGTGCTTTTACTCATCTTTTTATTTCTGCTGCCCCAGTAAATCCCTCTGTGAGCTGGTAATTAGATGATGCTCCAGATGTGTAATCTGGAAGCATGGTCCCTGGTGGCACCATGGATGAGAGAGCATGTTCAGACCTGGATTGTCCCTCTGTGGCCACAGCCCCGGTCTCCTGGTTCTGCTAGTCTCCAGTAGCCTGGCGTGGGGGTCCACAGCACTTTGGATTTGCCTTTGAACACTCAACTGCTTAGGATGGGCTGGCAGTAAAAGCAAGAATATTATTCAGGTGTCTGCTTGAGTCATGAATTGAGGGAAAACAGAGTCAGTTCCTGCTTGCCTGCTTTCTCAGTGTGACCACAGTTTCCTGAAATAATACTGTATATTATGTATGCATTGATTTCTGCAGATAGGACAGTTCTGAGATAGGAAAAAAGTGGTACTTACTCAAATATAAAATAATCCACTGTTGGGAGTCATTTAAAAATAATTATATAGCTTATCCTTTTAAGTGAGATTTCCCTCTGCTTTCCTTATACTTTTGCTTATAGCTCATTGTAGGTTTTAATTTTTTTGTTAATTATTTTTTACAGGCTCAACATCCTGTTGACTGGCATGGACCCGTTCTACTTCCATGCAGTGAATGTGATCCTACACTGCCTGGTGACACTTGTGCTGATGTACACCTGTGATAAAGCTGTCTTCAGGAGCCGGGGGCTGGCCTTCGCCACGGCCTTGCTGTTCGCCGTGCACCCTGTCCACACTGAGGCGGTGAGTGTAGAGAGCTCAAGGAAGTGACAACCAGCAGATGTTGGTATTTGTCAGCTACACTGATCTTCTTTCCCTTTCAGAACTGCATCAATTCAGAGCTCTACTAAAGTGTTTATATATAAATCCCCTGCTTGACAACTTTTCCTTTTGAATGCTCAACTTGGCTTTCTCGCGCTACCAGAGTGTAACTGCTTTTCTAAATAGCTGCTGTTATTATTACAGGTAGTAATGAATGGTCACAGTCTTTTTTATTTTCAGAAAAATTTAAATCCTAATGTGTTTTTAGCAGCAAGGGATCTTCTGATATTCTTATACTGTCACGGTTCTGCTCTCCATTGATATTACACCTTTTCTCACTCCGTTTTATATTTATCATATTTATGATGCAGAACTCACTCTTAAGTGCTGGATCAGGAGGGGTTAGACTGATGCTCTGTATGTTAGAAATAGGATGCCTACAAAGCATTTTCCAAGTTATTCAGTAAGAAGTATAGTTACTCTGTGGTGATGAAAATGTATGTAGAAAGTATGGATAGTTGGTGTCCCTGGCCCTTATTAATATACTAACAATTATGCATCAGTTAAGATGGCATTGTCAGCAACCTTGTTTCACATCTTAGCCACCACATCTGGCTTATTTTATGAGCATTGCTAGGGGTAGGTGGAGACTTCCCAAGGAGTGTGTGCCCCACAGGTTTTAAAGAATCTTGCACAGCTGCACCTGGTGCCTGGCCGCTTTCCTACAGTTGACCTGCCTGAGAACACACCTGTGGTAACCATGTCGTGCTTCTCTTCCTTACTTCAGCCTCGGTCACCCTTTCCTCGCTTAATCAGTGAAGGAACACCTCATCTGCCAGGATCTTACCGTGCCCCTGGTGTGCTCTGACTGGAGGCACCTGACCAGCATGAAAGTGATCAGGAGGCCTCCTTCAGTCAGAGCATCGTGCATTGAGAGAAGGGATTCGTATTGCTCCCTGTCTCATATGCATTTTTGAAGAATAGCATGGTATTAAACATATTGGATGGTGGCCTGTGTTGGTGTTCTGAACTCCGAAGTGAAATAGTTGTCATAGGGATACATAATAGTATAATTATGTAAACTGACACCAGAAGTCTGATTTGACTAATTGGTTTGATTATGAGGATTGGTTTTTCCAGTTAGATTATCTGATGGTTATTTTCCACAAACAGAATTCTAAATCTCTAAGCCCAAGGGGTTGATAAATATCCGCGTGCATATTATATTCATATATATTCATATATATAGATAAAGGAAAATTATTTTATAAAAATATTACTTCTTTTTTGGCAGATTGAACGCAGGACCTTTTGTTTGCGAGGCAGGCGGCAGAACCACTGAGCTAAATCCCCTGCCCCAAATGTTACATTATTAAGGCATTTTTGCCAGCTCTTTTGATAAAACTGTGACTAGCTCAGGTGACTTTAATGATGGATGTGGCTAACTTCTTTCCTTTGATCAAATGAAAGGAGGACCTGGTTGATTTGTTAGCTGGCAGATCATTGAACTGTTATATAAGATGATAGATCATTATGTGAGAATTGCTGATGACTCTGGAGGTCAGAGCATTAAGTTGTTACTTTCACACAGATACTTCTCATTAATGTGAGCAGTCTATAAAGACAAAAGCAAGGATGGGCCTGGGGATTTAGCTCAGTGGTTCCACCTTTTCCCTCGCAAGCGCAAGGTCCCAAGTTCAATCCCCGGTACCAAAAAAAAAAGCCAAAAGCAGGAAATAGAATAGATGCTGTGTGCTGTCTTAATATTCTAGAAACGGTTAGATTTAGCCATACGTAACTGAGCTTAGTGAAAAGAAACTCATTATACTTACATGTTATTAAGATGGGAATTTTTGCTGGTGATTTAGCTCAGTGGTTCTGCTGCATGTCTCACAAGTGCAAGGTCCTGAGTTCAATCCCCAGTACCAAAAAAAAAAAGATGGAAATTTTTATATTTAATGACCATTTTTTCACTTTAGTTATGATGTACTGAATAATTGTGAATTAATAATTGGAATGGTAATACAAAATTAAAAATTTAGCACAGGCTTATGATCACTGGAAATTTTATAAATAAAATAATTTGGGGCCAGTAGGGAGTGACCCTGGGTTCCATCCCCAGCACCAAACATCCAAAAACTAATTGTATGTGTACTTTTCTTACCAGGAGATAATATAATAAATAAAATATTTTAAAGCATAGCTATGTAATACATTAAGAAAAATTGCTGAGGGGAAAATAAATAGAAGTTCAAGTTGAAGAAGAAAGTGGGTACAGTGTCCACTGTTTAAAGAAAAACTTGTTTGTGTTTATGTGGATGGGAGATGAAGAGCTTGGAGTTACTGTGGTCTTCAGATCCCACTGGGCACACTGAACAGAGTGACGCCAGGGCCATGTGCTGCAGTGCTGCTATTTACAACACAGGACATTAGGTACTTTCAGGCATTTAAAATTATGATGACAAGCTGAGTGTGGTCACGCACACCTGTAACTCCAACACTCTAGGAGGTTGAGGTAAGACGATCACAAGTTTGAGCCTTGCCTGGGCAGCTTCTCAGCTCAGTGAGATCATGTCTCAGAATTTAAAAATAATTTAAAATTGTACAGGGTGGGAGACTGGGGATGTACTCAGTGGGAAGGCCCTGGGTTCAATCCCCAGTAATGCACCCCCATTATATATAGGATAACAATTTCAAAATGATAAGATTCTAATGTTCTCCTTGGACATAGTATGAAGAAAAATAACTAAGGGCTTGTATTCCTAGCTATGTAAAATGTGTGACTCTGAGTCAATGACATGTTTTAATCTCAGGTCATAAGCAATACTATATTTCTGACAAACAGTTTTAAAGTATGCTTGAAAGTCTGAACTTAGAGTGTCTGATGGACAGGAAAGAGCAAATAAATAGGGCAACAACAATTTTATTCAGTGGTGCAGAGATGGAATGCACACAACAGGCAGCTTTGGGCTGTGTAATCAGGAGCTGATAGAGCTTAGGATGCATTCTAGGGAAAGAGGTAAATTCAGCAAAATGACCTTTAAAAAAGGGTTTCAATAGGCTCTTGTTCTAATCAGGGAAAAATCCATAATAATATAATTAAAGGGGCAAAGGAGTCTGGGAGCTAGACATTTGTTTGGGAAAGGTGTTTATATTTATAAGAAGACAAGACCCATATAAGAAAGGTGTAAAGAAATTTGTTTTACAAAACAATTTACACTACAAAGTGAAATAGAGATTGCTATTTAATTATATATTTCAGTTCAAGTTTCTGAGGAGGACAGAGAAATAGAAAAAGAGATGTACTTTATAGAAGATAGGATGATGAGATATTTAAACATATACACAAACTGGTGTGGTGGGTCGAGAGTTACTGGGAATTATCTCTCCTTTGTTAAATAAGAATAAAAACAGGACTGTAAGTTGTCTCAGGATGGAGAATTTAATTTTGGGGGTGGGATCTTGCTTAAAAACACTGATAGGATTTTGTATGGACATATTGATAAGATTAAGGCCTTGCTTTAGTAGTTGTATTAGTGGACACATAGTTACTGAGCTGTGCTTGGTGCAGAACCTTCTATAGGCCCCAGGGGAATGTGTGGTTGGGTGTTGGGGCCTCTTGCACAGCTTACTAGACAGGGACAGACTCATCTGTTCACTCAATCTTTCAACAAACATTTGAGAGCATATAGTACAGTGGCCGTAGAATATCACCCTATAGGACGACAGCAGTAAGTAAGGAAGACCCAGAGACTTGAGTTTTTGAGGTTCCTTGGAAGGGTTTCTGGTCATTGTATTTCCTGGGAAATGTATATATTTTTATAAACAGTGAGAAAAATCAGCACAGAAATAAAGAACATTATTATAATTCTGTGAGAATTCCGACATCGTCATCATCACAGTTTTGGATGAATGCACTTGTGTCAAGTTGCAAGCAACAGCAGGAAGAGCTGACATTGGAAGGAGACACCTGCATTTCCAGAGCTGGGATGGGAGGTCGGAGGCGAAAATAGCTTAGGATCTTAGCAGCTGGTCTGGCCTGTAGCTGTTGCCATGTGTTAAATTATGTGTTCTAGCACTATGAAAATGGAGCTCATTCTATCAGATAAAATAAATATTAATCACTCTATACAAAGTATACATTACACAAATCCTGTGAGTGGTACTGCAAAAAATAACAAGTTGTAAGAGCAAATTAAGACCTACTTGGCAAGTTCCACATAGGATTCTATTAACCTTGCTGGGGAATTTCTAAGTTACATTACAGGTTCAATATTCCTAACCTGAAATCCAAAATACTTCAAAACGTGACACTTTTAGAGTGTTGACATGATTTCACAAGTGGAAAAATTGCACACTTGACATGTGACAGGTCACACTGAAAAAACACAGGTGGATACTGTATAAAATTACCTTCATCTATGCAAACATAGGTGGATTTGGGTTTAGACTTGGGTATCCTCCCTAGGGTATCTTATGTACTGTATGGGCAAATGTTCCAGAGTCAAAAAAAATCTGAACTGGTAAGCACTTCTGGTCTCAAGGACTTTGGGAACTCCATCCACTTCTAATGTTTTTTCAGTGTTTGGATATTGGTTGGGGTTCTATGTTAAACCAATCTCTTGTGGATGGAGACCTGCTGTCTTTTTTCATTGCTGAAATGAAATACCAAACATCCACAATTAAAGGAGGAAAGGTTTATTTCAGCCCACAGTTTATAGAGGTTTCAGTCCATAGTCAGCTGGCCCCAAGGCAGGGCAGTATGGCAGAAGGGCATTATAGAGGAGAAGGTCCTTGGCATGGTGGGCAGGAAGTAGAGAGCTTGCCTTTTCCTTTTACATCATTCAGGCTATAAGCCTTTTGGGTGGTGCCACTCACACTGCGGGTCTTCAGTAAATCCATTCAGCCATACCCAGAACTATGCTCATTCCAGTCAGTGGACTAATTTAGTACCATGCTAATCCCAGTATCACACATCCTGG